CCTTGAGCCAAGATCCATCTGACAACAGCTATGATATCCCTTGTTCCACGTCCTCTTCTTAATCCGGCTTGAACCTCTGGAAGTTCTGAGTTTCTATTTAGGGTGATGAAAAACTTGGAAATAGATGGAGGTGATAGTTGCACAACAGTGAATGTGGTTAATGTCACTGAGTTGTACACTTAAAGTTGTTAAAAGGGTAATTTTCTTATTATATATATTACCACAATTAAAAAAAATAATAAAGCCACCTGTTTACATTTTGGGCTGTAAATATCACTGATTCTTTTTTTCAAAAACAGTGACTGACAGCAGATAAGTACCCTATTCCCCTACCCATAGGACAAGATAATGAGAAATGTTTTACGTGGTCTCCCAGAGATCTCAAGCAGGATTGGGTTCCAGCTGCCCACAGCAGCGTGGCTTGATAATGCACCCTTTATCGGTTTACTGGCGTTCTCTGTCTCACTTCCCCGCTCTTCTGTTAATGTTTCCTAGAATAACTTCTCAAATAGGCTTCTGAGAAGTAAAACTCAAGACAGTATGGCAGCAGCCAATTTAATATTTGTTTAATTTCTTTGAAAGTTTAAAATATAAGTTTAAATAAAAGTTGAACACAAGAATCAGTGTGAAAACCTTTATTTCTTTTAATAGGGAAGATTTGTCAAAACGGGTTTAGTTGGTTTTTGATACAACACATACTAGGGATGCAAATGTTTGACTTTTTTGTAAAAAGTAAATGGCTAGTTCTTATATGGAGGCCCTATGTTAAAATAAATCTGGATTAAGTATTGATATACTTGAGAGGAGTATAGATATAGGAGGAGTATAGATCAATAGTATAATTATTGATAAAGGTGCAAGGAGTGCGGCTAGATGAAGGTTTAAGAAACTCTGATGGTATGTAGTTAAGACATTTGGCTGCTAACCAGAAGGTCGGCAGTTTAAGCCCACCAGCCACTCCACAGACGAAAGAGAGGCAGTCTGCTTCTGTAAAGTAATTACAGCCTTGGAAACCCAATGGGGGTTGCTATGAGTCAGAATTGACAGAATTGACTCGATGGCATTTTTTATTTTATTTTAAAATAAAGATAGGACTTTTTTTTAAATACTAGTATTTATTTTAGGTTTATATTATACATTTCCTTTGAAGTCTACCTACCTTCATGGTAACACTGAAAATAAAATGAAATACAGTTCAAGAAGCAGAGAGAACCAGAGAAAGAATACAGATGTCAATAAGAGAATAGGATAGTATAGTCTGAGCATTTTCTTATCCCAGCATTACACATTTTTGTTTTAGATTTTCTGCATGGCTTCTGCTGGTAAATGTTTGATTTCAGGGCAGGCTTGATTAAAAACAAACCAGAAGGATCTCTCCAAGTTGAGTGGATTCTCTGCCATCTGCTGACTCATCATTGTAATTTTAGTATTTTAAAAATATATTGTAAATGAATGATAGAGTTTAAGAACTTAAAACATCTTGGGTAGTATACTCTATATTAATAACATGATATTCATTAGATAAAAATGTTTTTCCTAAATGTCCCTTTTCCCCTTTCTTTACAGAATGCTGCCTTTTTATATGGTCTTGGTTTGGTCTACTTTCATTACAATGCATTTCAGTGGTAAGTTGACATAAAACTAATAATGACATTTGTTTCCAGTAAATGGCTTGTTTTTGTTTGTGTACATGGCTGTGTGTCTGTGTGAATGTATGATAAACACATAAAATATTTTAATGTCAGTAAACCTACATTTTTCAGTAGTAGAAGTATAAATGATTAGGTTCATTAAATCAGTTTCTTAGGTGTTAACTCAAGTTAGATTTACAGTTTAGTAAATCAGATTTTTGATTATCAAATGAGATTATCATTATCAAATAATTTGGTATGAGATTCTGGTTAAAGAGGGCTTAGATAGAAAGCTTTTTGGAATTTCTTAATCATTCATGTGGGACTAGGAGGACAACCCCCAGTTATTTGAATTGTGAATGACTAAGTCGCTCATTTAAAATCTCTAAGATCTGTGGGTAAATGATCTATGTTTACCAGTAATTTTACCTTTTCAGACTTTAAGGAAACATTGACCACTCCTTGCCCTCCCCTCCAACCCC